CTTTAAACTTGCAGCTGGTAGAATCAAGAATGAAAAAAAGGGTTTATATCGGCTGCACTAGCTTCCACTATTTGACAGTCTACCTCCGGCATAAACTCAGAATTCCGCGTAAAACTATGCTCAATACTAGTACATTACAATCTTAATGTAACCCCACTGTATTTTCAGCGCGGTTTCCCAGATATCTCCTTTTGAGTATTGGACATTAAACTAGGAAGAGCTAAAGTCAAAAATGTTGTTGAAAATATATTACTGTACAATCGATACTACTATTTATTCATATTCATTGATCTTGGTAGAGGTCATCATATATCAATCGCCAGCCGAGGACCATTTATGCGGCCTAAGCCTCAACATTAACCCTTGGCAGATTTCACCATGATTTACTACAGTGTCGCACGCCCAATAAAAAAAATTGGAAACTTGTCAACCTTCTGCTCTTGACTCATGCTATTGTTTCAATCTGTGGTGACTCTATGTATTTATGATACAGCAACGCTGATTGGTGGCGCCAGCTCCCTGGCGCGTCCAATCAAATGACTCAATTTAACTGCTGTGAAATACAGCTTTTCCTAACACGATCACGCACGGGTTCGTGGGCCAGCTATGAATGGCCGGCTTTAGCAAAACTGTGCGATTCGGACGATGCAATATTCCACGATTGAATTATAAACAATATATATTGATCCTCTCTATCTGAAAAAAAAACACTCTTTCGAGTCTAGTGCAGGTCAACCATGCATTTATGTAACTTATTACAAAACCTTTTAATTCTGTGTAATTTGTATTCCAGGTTCAACCATGCAGAACCGATTCATTCTCCTGGCAGTGGTCTTGGCAATGAACGCGGTCATTATGATTTATTCATTTGGTAACGTGATCCTGGGTAACATGACTAACTATTTAGCGAAATATGTCCCAGTGGGAGAGTCTGAAGAACTAGTGATAAATACAACGAAACCTATTGTTGCAGGGAAACGCACAGACTTGTCGCACTTTGGTCGGATTTCAGCCATAAAAGTACAAGAGACGACCTTCTATGAGAACGAGGATTTTCAGAATATTGTGGATGGATTGAATAAGTTAACCACCAGGTTAAATGAAATGCATGATATTTTAAACATGACAGAACACATGTTATCTGCAGGGTTTGCTTACAATGGGAGTTTGAATCGTTTACACGACATACTATTGGATGTAGTGATACGAAATCGGTCGTTAAAAATTGGCGTATTGGGTGGATCGATATCGGCTGGTGGTGCTTTGGGTGGCGAACAGTACATTTATTCTAGCATATTAGGACATTTACTGCAGCTTGTGATCGGGGAACGTGTTGAGATATATAATGTGGCTGTTGGGTCTACAGCTAGCAACTATTATAAATATTGTATACATGCCCATCTAAATGCGTCAGATATGGACATTATTATTTGGGAGTTTGCAATTAACGACTTTATTGTTGGAATTGGGCCTGAATCGCAGGAGGAACTGACCAGGTTTGTATTGGCATTACCAAAGAAACCGCAATTAGTGTATGTGGATTTCGTGCATCTTGTACTTTTTCGACAACCCCACCCCTGTAGATTTGGAAGTAAACGTTTCGGTATGCATTACGATGTACCATCTATAAGTTTGCCGAATGCACTCTGTACTTATCTTGAGAAGGGTTTGCGTGATGGCCTGTTAGGCAGCGACAACTCTCATCCTGGTAAAATTCCACATGCAATGGCGGCTATATTTCTAGCCCATCTCTTGAAAGACGTGTTACAAAACATCACTCGAGAGTGGTCACCTAATAATACTCCGACTAGTTTTCAAAAAGGTGTTGATGCAGAAAATCTCATCGGGGAATTACCACCCCCATTATATAACATATCACAAAATCTACACCGTCAGTGCTGGTCTACTTTGCTGTCGAAAGAGGGCGTTTTGAATGATTTAATACCATCAAAAAGAGAGGATGATTGGGAGATGATGCAACAGGAGTACGAGGAAGATTATAGACTTGACCGAAAGATGTTCTGGGGATGTAAGCGTAAAAATAAATCAATCGTATTCCCTTTGATCATTGAACCGGACGAACACGCAACATTGTTTAGTGTCTACGTAGTAATGTTGGGCTGTTCATGGTGTGGAAACGCAGTGGTGTTCTTAGATCATGGCAATGGCGTGGTAATTAAAACGTACTGGAATTGGAATATAGTAAGACTATTTCATGTTGCAAACAACGTTCCCCCAGGAAACCACAATATAACTGTTATACCTCAATCTGATATTCTAGTCAGGGTAACTTCTGTTATTGTGGCTTAAAATCGCCTCTACAAAACATTTGGGTTTCAATATTTCATAAAATATGACCATTTATCGTAAACTCTCGTTTTAAAGCTCGGTGGTCGTCGCGCAGGGCGTGTTCGAATTTCATGTAGATAAACAATGTATTTTACACGCGTTGTATACGTCGCTATGAGTCCCATATCGAACAGGACGTGGCGCGACGACTGCCGCCCTTTAATGTTTATCCGAACTAAGTTGGAGCATACACATATAAGTTTCGCCCTCTAGTGATGAAGGGTTTCTGTGACGTCAAAATGACGTAAATGGATAAGCATTGTCGTTCAAATCATGGAAGGTACCTTCCATGTTCAAATAGACACATCTTCTTGGTTGTGTAGGCGATCAGAATATTGCAAATCTCTAAACAAAAGGCAGAAGCGTCTTGTCACTGGAGGGCGCAATTTAATTGATAAGGTTAGCACTCATCATGAGGGTCAATCGTCACAGACTGTGATGTTCAAGTGTACACAATGTTTCAGATTGTTATATCAGAACATATTAAAAGTCGTTCCGAACATAATTATGCAACTGTTCATTTCATCAGATTGTCAGGATATTTCACATCTGTCAGTGTTTTGAAATTGTCAGATTACTTTCATCTGGCGTCATCGGAACAATTACTAAAAGTGCATTGTTTGACAAAATATCAAAATAGTAAACGTATCAAAAACGATGACCACTGCAAATTTCCCCATTAGTTATCTCAGCTGACAGTCAAGATAAAATCAAATGAAAACTGTTTTTTTCAATGATTTTTAAACCAAAAACAAAAGCACATTGGGTATGAAACGAAACAGCCCAACATTTGTAATCCATTCCATTCCAAGTGATGTTTATAAATTTGATATTTTTTCAGTCGCACTTCCAGTATACAAACGATTTCCATGGCAACCAAGTAAACATATTGAGGAACGTTAAATACCCTGAGAGGTTGTACTCTCCCAGATTCAAATCGATGTATAACTTTCCAACCATTGATTGCAAAGTTATTACAACATCTCAGTGTTCATGAGAATATTCTAATGTTGCAAAGGAAACTCATATATGTAACGTTGCTACTCTACTTAAAATAAATATTGATGGAAATATAACAAGTTGTATAAAATAACATCAAGCAATGTCTGTAAACGGCTGCAAGATGAACCTCAAAATGGCCAAAAGGCAGCCATATTAAATCTAACAATTCATCAAAATTGCACTTTTCATCAGACATCAATCGTGCATATACATGAGCATTTGTGTCATGATTTTTCATACCTGTTTGTAAATAACTGCAACTGACCCCAGTTTGTATCCTGTTGGTAATACAAGTGTGAGAGAATAAATAATTTTGACATGAATATAATGTGCAGACTATTATAAGAAAGAATCTCGTGACCGACTTCAGTTACTATCAGACTTGTCATACAAAAGATCAAATCAGAATAATGCAACAATATGAAACCTTTGTAGCACATTTCAGGATTTGGTTCAAATCTGTTTCATAACAAAAAAATTTGCCTGAGCAGTTAATAAAGTAATACATTTCAAGAGACATGTGTCAAAGCACAGGGGTTTTTCTAGAAAAAAACTGCAAGAGGAAGCACTGCAATTCAGCAGTAGGGGAGATAGGGTTCTCCTTATAAAAGTGCAAGTTTTTGATAATTCTAAGTTAAAATTGCGCATTCTATAGCTTCCTTAGGGTCAAAATTACTATCAGACAAGTCACAGTTGAAGACTGTGGCCACATGTGATCCCTGGTCAATCAGAATTTTATAGTTGCCAGAGGATCTGCTCCCCAGGGTAAGGGGGCACATGGTCATGGCCATGGCATGAGGGCGCTGCGCCCCTGTTCAAAAAATACCTCCCTGCATACACTCAAATATACTCTTTCATTAAAAACGACAAGGATTGTGTCGTGTCATGACTTGTTTATAAACCTTTTGCCAGTTTTATTTTGTTTGCCAAGATGGCCACTAATTCAAATCATTTCCATAGTAACAATATCATGCATACAAAGAATAAGTGGAAATGAAAATATAAATAGCAGAATGTAGAATATTTTATTCACAAAAATGAAGTATATTTTCATTGGAACCTGGTGATATAAACAAACCCAAAGCTGTAATTAATGTACATGATTTTTAAGAACTACAATACAATCTACTCACTAAACCCGAATCTGGTTGTCGAAAAAAAAAAATACAAGCGTCTTTACTCAAAAATCATCTTGTCAAGCAATGTGTTATTTGCCGTTGGTTGGTCACATGACATTGGACACAATCTGGGTCAATGAGTGCCTGAGTTTGAACGGTGTTTTATTACTCAAAGCAAACTTTAAACCTGCAAACTTTAAACCTGCAAGACAACCAACGCTCTTTAAAGCAGAACTGTCATCAGAACTACGCATGTGCAAAACAAAAATGATTACGTTTTGATAGCGGCCAGTTTTTAGAGATCTGCTAGATGGCTGAAAGAGTCATGTCATGCTTTGTGATAATGAAGTACTTGAGTTACAACCATGACCAATGTTTACTTTTTGAACTGTGTGTAGCACACAGTGCGTGTGAATGTAGTAAAGACCAACAATAGAAATAACAATAAAATTAACGCATGCACATGTTTTGCCGATTGTTTTGCTTTGATATGATGAGATGAAAGAATGGACTAGAAATCTTTTATATACAATACTATAATATATAATGTCAATTTCCATTATTGTGGATTTTATTTTGTATTTGAAATTTTTCTTGGATGGAAAATCTGTGATTAAGAAAAAAAGAAATTTGTATTGCAAGTGTCATGGATGTACACTTTTAATCATGACATATCCATGCAAAATGTATTTGGGATTTTGTTTAAACAAACATACTCGTCGCATGAGACTCATATTTAACAGAACGTGGTGCAATGACACTGGCAATTTAATTTCTCAGACAAATTCTAAATCACAGGATTCAAAATTGTTAAAAGTGAAATCTTGTGAAATCTTCTAACATTCAATGTTTTTGATTCAAATATATTGGTCTGAAAATCTGGCTACAGATGTTTGACATGCATGCTAACAGAGATAGTCAGAGCTGTCACATCAGAACTAGTATTTACTTTTGTTTTTCAGATCAAAGAATTTTACAAAGTTGTACTTTGCAATGTTATTACAAATCAGAAATAACATGTTTTGTCAGTTTGATCTAATATCCAGAACGAAAGTTGTGAAAATGACAGAAAATGATTGAGAATAAAACAAAAAGATGTTGCTGAACGTCATTACGTTAAATGTACGAAATCTACTTTTGAGTTTGTATAAATCTGAAGTTCAGCAACATCACATGTCAATTATGATAGTCAAGGTCAGAGTTTAGTGATTAAAAGTGAAATCATAGAAGACAACTTGTTTAAAAAATATTTTGCTTATCGTTATTTTCGACCATCAAATTTTTCGCCAAAAACGCATCAAGACTCGTGCGTTATATTCATAATTAGAATTTGTACGAATGTCATTACCATATACATTGTGGACGATAATTCATAAAGTTACGTATAGAGACCCGAAAAACCATCATAATACAGTACTGTTGCTAAGAGCTGAAAAGAGCCTGTACATCCGTGAACACCTACAGAGAAAAAAAGAAAAATACATTAGCTCCCAGATTAAAAGTAGTCATCATGACAACACGTATGAAAATAATGTAAATGCATTAACATAAGCATACATGTTGAAAATAGACGAGGGCTTGTAGGAAAATAAAAGAGATACAGTAGTTTAGACTATTCATATATTAATGGTAATTGGCCATTGCTCAGAATGTTTGGTAAAATTGAATATCAAAGATTATAGGTATGGCCACTTTCTATATATTATATGCATATGTGTATATGTTGCTATGCATAGGATGGGACCCATACCTAATGGTTGCAATGACCATCACCCTTGAAGTTATTTTCGATTGAAAGGCAATACAGAATTTTTGTAAATTTCAATGAAACTAAAGGTAAAAGTAGCATGGGTAAAACATGTATATAAATAAATTTTCTGATTCAGACTAAGTAACTAATATGGTACGATAACAACCTACAAATCATCTGAAAGCTAAGGTATATATTTTTTAATCTGCCTTTGTTTCCTAGCTGCAACCAAATAACTACAAATAAATTGCCTTTGGTAAAATACCTACTACTACATACTAAAACGGTAATGATAATACTAAATTTGCGAATAGGTTTTTAAAATTATTATACATTACCGCATCGGCAGATCTTGAACCGTCAACTTTCTTTACCAAGTTCTTTTCGGCATAGTGGTCAATGATTGGTTTTGTCGATGTGACGTAAGTCTCAAATCTAGAAAGAGAACACAAGTTTGAATGATTTGGGTGATTGCTTTTCCAAAAGTTTGTGTACTTTTGGTGTACTTAGTCAATGAATGCCAACATGTCAAGATTTGGTAATTTCAAAAGAGTTTATTTGAAAACTGAATGTCTGATTAGATTCAAATAATGAAAAAAAAAAAATGAAGCGAACATATCAAAATTGTGGGGGAAAAAAATCAGTTTAAAGTGTATGGCTGTACTGAGACATTTATTTTGACGAGGAGAGGAGCTTTGTTTGTCAAATAATCCAATGGAATAGCATAAAAATTAAAAACAATACCAAACAAATTATGTCAGAACAAAAACAAAAATGTTAACATTCAGGCATAACCATGAACATTGGATAAAACACCAGCTGATTTTTTGCTTTTTAGCAGTAAAAAAATAACATGTGAACAAACAGTTGCTTTCTAGTTTTGTCAAGACTACCTTCAGGTCATTATTTTTTTTTCTTTCACTTCAAAAAACAAATCTACACCACTGGTAAAACACAATTATGTCATATGGGTAATTCAGCATTAGAATTAGAAATTAGAAGCCGAAAGACAGAAAATTATTGTGATTTTGCAAATAAACTCAGTTATTGAATGGCTATGAAAAGCGGACTACAAGCTTGTGTAAGGTCCGCTCTGAGAAATAGATTCTCTTCTTGGCTAGCCTTAGCGAACATACAATCAAGATTTGGACTGTTCTTGTTTTCCACTAGCACTCAAAAAAAAACCACATTTTCATCACTAGAGGGCGCCAATAATGAAATTGGTCCAAGCATCAAAGTTGATACTTTTAATATTGATATTTAAATTATCATCTGATAGATTCTAAAAATATTTTGTTTTGGCGCCATGGACCATGAAAGTTAGAGGAGTGCAGTAAAATGTAAAAAACAATGCCACAAATAATCACAAAAAGTATTCACATACTATCGGTATCAGAATTTTTACAGTGTGAAATTATTAGGAACTATGGGAAATAACTAAAATCAAGAGATTGATCATTGCTTTTATTGAATGTTATTGATTGTTTGTCAACTTTCAATGCATTTTCCACCATGATGTTTACATGCACAATTCGACCTCCAACACTAACCTGATAGGTCAAGTCTGTTATTGACCAATCTGAATGCGATGTTACAGCAATGTAATTCTCCAGGAATTCCTGAAGACATCCAGGTACACATTACAGAGATGAATTATTGATGCATTAATTGGTTGCAATTAATTTCAGCAAAAACGGCATAATTGTTAAAACAAGGGCCGAGGGCAGTGGCAGTTACTAGGTGGATAGGAGAAGTGGAATCTATAATCTAGTTTAGTAATTGTGGCAATGGTCACTGGAAGGGCATATCCCGTAAGAGGAAACGTATTTGTGTATGTAATGCATGGATATGTATTGATGTTGTTGGTGTACAAGATATTGAAGATGAAACATAAAGTCATTGTCACTATTACCAGAATATAATTTTATGTTATTCGGTTACTGCACATGTGACTGAATTGAGAATGACAAAGTTAGACAATAAGACAAAGTGACATGTGATCTTGAGATGACCTTGACTTTTTCTTGAAAGATCTTGATGGAGGGGTGACCTCCTGACCCTCAATACACATGCAATCAACATGTGACCATGAGATGACCCTGACCTGGGGCCTTGACCCTTACTTGGTCTTGAAGATTTGGGGGAGGTGTTTTAGTGCCCCCCCCCCCCAAGTGTTCAGTATTACTCATATAATTATTATATGTATAATGTATAAACCTTGAATTGACCTTGACCTGACACATTTCTGGGAAACATTGGACCATCCAGTTCATTTTCCAAGACAATGTGTACTGAGAAAGCCTAACTTCCAACTGATACAGTTGTCTACTGGAGTCCATGCATAGCCCATAGATAACATATGGGAAAGTGAAAAAAAAATTCAAAAAAATCACAAAAATGAAGATATCTTTACCAAATGAACAAATTTGTAACCATAAATGACAAAAATATTCCAAAAGGTTTACAAGTGACGTCGTGAAATGAACAAATCTGACAGTGGACGATCCCAGGTAGGTGTGGTATGAATAGCATAGCAATCCAGCTGACAGTTTTGAAGAAGAAGTCGTTTGAATGAAAAATGTTGACAAACGACGTAGAATGACCACAAACAGACAACAACAGGTTGGTTAACTCATGAGCTCCGCTTGGTCATCTTTGATCTACGCACAGTATTCGATATTCACATTGTATTATATAAATTTGATTACAAACAATGCTCAAACAGTAGGTTATATGACTAGGCAGCCAAATTTGGAGCATTTAAAGGTAGTGAGAGGGGGAAAAACTAAAAAAAGCATTCAAAAAATACAACTCTCATAAACTAGATGAAAGACGATGTTAAATTTCTACTATCTAGAGTGACGTTAAAAACAAATGAATCCTATACATTGACTACTGAGGGAATACTGCCTGCTTACCTTTTTTTTAAACTTTCTTTGTTGTCATCTGTTCGTCCACTACCGGCAGCTCCCCTGGATATACATCGATCTATACAAATCTAAAAAAAAAAAATATTATTTCATGCATTATCACATGCTTTTCGACACATTGTGATGTAAGACAGGGCAGATCCAAAATGGTTTGATAACTACGGATTGTGGTAACAATTTTATTCGGTTTATTTTAGTATTTTGAGAAATATTATTCAGTTCCTCCAAAAAATGGAGCAATATAAAGAATGAGCATTGGTTCATTGCTCGAACAATTTGATTTGGTTTTCAAAAGAAAGATGGTTACATTTTCTAGGTGTAAAATCCGTTCTTTTATCAGAAGTTACAGCCAACATAAACTGATCAAAGCAAATTAATGTAAATATGTGTGGTGCGGAGATGGACGGATGTTGCACTAAATCAAAACATACATCAAGTGGAGGGGATGTCACATGTGCATGCACAGGAATTGAGTCCTAAGCGACGATAATAACGCATGATAAAAACACAAAGGCTCATGGGTATAAGCTTGATTGTAAACAACGACTCGATATGATCATCTGCCGCATGCACAGGTGACAGACTTCCTCGCTTTAATATGATGGAGGTTGTAGAGATGCCACTCAAATAATACATAGAAGATAAAAGACCAACAGGGACTATGTCATTGAGTTATTCATGTATCAACTGTTCATTGATGTAAAATTGTTACAACAAAAATGAAAGTTGAGTGACCTACCTCTTCTGGACAGTCAAAGAAAAGGACAAACTTCAAGTTGGTTTTGTCTCCCATCTGACAATTCCAGCCATCTAAATTGTCTTGATTTCTTGGAAAGCCATCAATAACAAAATTATTTCCTTGTCCGGCTTTCATGGAATCATTCATTGCCTGTGGGAATAAAACAGGAAAAATTACTTTTTTGTAACATGCTATTCCATATTACTAAGCATAATTTAGGCCTGGAAACAAAAATTCTGTTTCTCACTTCATGGAAATTTTAAAATGAGACGGAGAAGCGATTTTTTTTTTAAATACTAAAATGGGGGAAATTTGAGACAAGTGAGAGTACAAGCGCATTTTGGAATGCTTTAGAAGGAAAAAAATGTCCTAGACACATAGTTCAAAATGATGCGCGCGGAAATGAAAAACGGAGGGTTTTTTTTCAGCCTGAAGCACCTTTTAATAAGATCAAAAAACAAATGCATATGTATATGCTGTAGAATACTTTATTTTCGCTTGGAATTTATTTTGGCTATTTTTGCTGAAGGGATGATTCCGTGAAAATAAAATCCAGCAAATATACTTTTTTCACTTTAAACTCATCAAAAAACAGTGAAAATAAATTCCATACAAAACATCCAAAAAGCCTTTTCAGCGAAAATTAATTCCAGCGAAAATAAAGTATTTCACAGTATAAGATATGATGTGTGGTGTGAAGTTGAATGAGCCCAGGCATGTCTGAGATACAAGTGTGGACGAATATTTGAACAGGGCCTAATAAATGCATTTAACACACACCATCTTATTCGCATATTGAATAATCGCATAAATCCTTACTGAAAACTCCTACTGATCGCATAAACTTACCCGTTCAAGTAAACTACAAGTAATGGCCACAGGAACAATTTTACCCTCCTTGATGTGAGTCGCTATCAGATCTCCAAATTCAGACTTGGGTTCATTTCTTTCGGCTCTCAATAAGTCACCCGCAGACAAATGGACATATTTAAATTTCTGCAAGACAAAATTTACCAGATATAGGAGATGGAGTCAACTTGTGTGTCCTGATGATCAAACAGCTTAGATTTCTTAACCTTTTCACCACCTCTTCCCGCTTTTCGTCCCAAATTCACAAAATACCCTAGTCCTGTTTATAGTCTGCACTTTCCTTCAGAGGATTGGAATAAAATTAGCCAAATGTTTTGAGTAAAAACAGAAAATTGAGTCAAATTTTGTCTGTTGGCTCCAAAATAAGCGTTCAATCCCAGAAATATTGAAAGAATATAAGAAAAAAGTGCAGACAAATTTGGGTGAAAAAAATCATGCATGGTTACTGGTTTCAGAGTTTGATTTAGAATGGCTGACTGGTGGCCATTTTATTTCTATGGATCCAAGTTAGCACTAGACAAGACAAGATGCACATCTGTTTTTGACCCAAGTCAATAAATAATATTGCCATATTACATTTCCCCATACAAAATTGTGCAAATTATACTGTTCCCCTGTTTCATGGTTGTTCTTAAATCACAGAAGTAATGCACTATACAAAGTTTGAAGTTTAATAGTTTGGTTTAATGCTATTTATTACCTCAACAATATTGCTACACTGAGTCCCTTTGCCAGCACCAGGCGCTCCAAGAACAAAAACAACATTGGGTTTTTCAGCAGCCATGGCAACCAGTTTCCTCACAAATAAACTGAGGCCTTTCAGTTTGGTAGATCTTCGAGGACAGCACTGTCAATACTTTCCTGAACAGGAAACAACATGAAAGTTTTGGGAAAATGCAGAAGAAACTTTACAAGAAAAAAAATATTTGACCTTTAAGGTATTTATTTTAAACATCTCGCATCACAAAAGATTATCTACAAGCGAAGTTACTACTTGGTGATTTTTTGGTGTCTCAAAAAAAAAATACTGTACACTTTACTGTAGTAAAAATAGGATAAATAATAGCAAATAAATAGGATACAGTGGGTTTAGTGAGAATTTAACATACACAGCGACAGTGTTATTTTGATGGAGTTTTGCAGAAAGTATGCAAATCTGTCAAAAAAAACTGCTGTGACATCCAAGTTATGTCCAAGACCTAGGTACTCATGTTTTTCCCCATATAATATTTATACGCAACATATAGCAGGGTCGTTTAGGCTCACTTGGGTCAAGCAGCTATCCAAAGATGTGAATCCATGCATCGGGCAGCATCAAATTTTCAACCTTTCAACAACATGGCACTGAAGCTATTCAAAGCTGTCAGAGAGATGCTTTCTAATTTTTATCAGCATTGACTGAGAAAATGGGAAGGTAAATTGCCTACAATATCAGAATCCTTGCCTTGAATGATGAGAGAAATTACTATGAAATTATTATGAATATAGACCATGACCACATTTAAAAAAAGACATGGAGTAGAAGAGTCAGCTGCTATTTAATATAATTCTGTGCTTTCTTGGGTATCAGCGCAAACATTATCCGGACAAATGTCCCCCAGACAAATGCCTCCCACACAATTAATATTTGTTATTTTTTGGCAGTGATTTTGACTATTAATACTTAGTTGACTACTTGGTGTCGTCAGCAAACACTTGTTTACATGAATTTATAATAAGTTGACAACTAGCTGTTGTCTGCTTTATTAGAAATATAAAATTTCAGTGAATGTACCATTTCTATAAGCGGGTAATAATATTTATACACACTTTAATGTGAGCACTGGTACTTTTTATCATAAGCAGAGTACTAAAACTGGAGATTATGGGCTAGGTATTCCTAGCAGACAAACACTAGATGTATAAATTTTTCACATGAATGCTCAAAAATGTACATTCTCAATTCTTCAGCAAAATATAAGCAACTTAAAAAATGTATATCTAATTCTAAACAAAAACAAATAAAAAAGAAAATCCAGATTTGCGGCAAATAACAGTTAAATTTTCCTGATAAAATAAATTTTAGTGGGCTTGTTCTACATGTGAATTATCACAAGTATACAAATCGTGGAAAAAATGACATACTAGTAATGGATTTCGTTTGACACGTTTATTCCACGAATGTTAATTGTGATTTTACAAGGGGGAACCACCTAGTAGAAAATCACCCAGTTCGTATACGCAGTTCGACGTATGAAGGTAACAACTGCGACTAGCAATTGAAAATATTGGAACAATAATCCACACAGGAAAACTAATCAATTTGAGATTTAATGTCGATCAAATATACGGAATACGTGGCGATGACACAGTGGGAAGATAGGCCCGTGCCAGTGAGGATTTAACACCGTGGCCAATACTACGTTGCGTGGCAGAATACACGAGTCGATCACCGCTCTGTTACGGAATTGACAGTCGTACCGTAAATACCCACCCACCGTCTTTGATCGTAGGGAGACGATATTTATCTGCTCATTGTTACTAAATTTCACACCGATATTTTTACGTGAATTTGTGAATAAAACGCTCACCTCTCATTTGCCGGCTCAGTCAATCTCGCTTGGGCGACCTTTCAACTTAAGTGGACACTGAGACTGCGCAGTTTTAATGACATCAATTTCATTTTATTGTTTCGCTATCTTTGAATCCCGAAATCACGTTCACTGTCTGTTCAGTGGGTTTGATAGAATAATATATCCATGTTGTAGTTGTAAACATGTATTTATATATGTAGCAGAACATCGCATTTGTATTTGTGTTGGCTTCTGGAACACAGACTCTCGCAACAAAAATAAGCCGTAAAACTACAAAATTGATTTTGTAAAACGGGTTTGGAGAACACAGAGTAGAACAAACGAACAAACAGGCGCGTTGGTTTGATTTACCAAAAGTTGACCTACGAGAAAATATCAACAAAAAAACTACTATTCCTGAGAAAATTTATCAAAATATCGCCGACTATGATATGTCCGGGGTGAAAGCGATGTCCTGATTGTAGGTATGTGCGCCCCGGTGGCTCTATGAGTGCGGGAGCGGTGATTCCGTTACAGAATGTGTTAGGTTTTGACACGCCAAATCACGTCTAGAAAGAGAATCATGTTTGCTATTGTGTACACACATTAACACTGTTGTCGTAAACGAACGTCAGCCTCAATACACAGGTGACATACCTCAATAACCGCCTATCTATACAAGTAAGAGCACGTAAACTCCTGCAGAAACATGAAATTTTGGGCGGCCAGTATAAAATTTTGTCGTACCAGTGGTTATTGGTTCAGTGTGTGTTTGGAATGTCGTACTGACGGGAGATCAAGTGTTAGTTTGGCGAGCTCTGATTTCGCTACCAATTGGAATTGGATAGTTGCAGCGTTTTTCATTTTGACATTTGCCTGCAAGGCTTTCTGTAATTTGTAGTTGGTCCCACGAGAGGTACGTCTTTATTTTGTTTTAATATAATTTTTCATATCTCTGCTGAATATATGTTTATCAATGTTGGGGAATCGTATGTCTTGTCATCAACAACGTAACCGACTAGTCCGACGAGTTCCAAGTGTCAGTTAATTTGGAAACCCATTCTTATTTCAGCTCGTCGCAAACTTTTACAATTCCGTTTGATTATAGACCATTCATGGCTAGCCTGAGTGATTTAACAAAACCGCAGCCCAAATTACTAATAAACATAGTGGTATTTGATTTTTTTTAAATAACAGTTTCTGAAAGATGATCTCTTCAACTCTGTAGTTCCATTATATTTGAATCTAGTTCTGACTTTATGACTGAATTTATGTCTAGTTGAAACTCCGTTAACAGTTTGCTTGTTTTCTCTACAAGTTTAGTTGTTCATTGTTAAATAGTCTCGCTGCATAATCGTTTCCAGATTTTAGTGATCTATCTGATAAAAGTAAAATTGCATTTATGCATTTAAAAAAAGAAAGACAACTTTTTGAAAAATGTCATCATCCTTGTATTTGAAGTGTTAATCCAAATCTGGACAGTTACTCTGCACACAATTTAGATAAGATAACTCTACCTCTAGGAAGGAAAGATTGGGAGATTATGATCTGATAATCTCTGTACTTAGTGTTTATTGCTCATGACCAGTTAGCTGATAAACTTATGAGACATTGTTTCCTTTGTGATTTAAATCAGTGTATTGTCACAAACAATGGATCAGTTGATCAGATTACCATTCATGCAATCATTTAGTGGTATCAGATTTTCTCGAAACCAATTGCTATGAGAGACTATTAGATCACCTGATATTATAACATAGTTTAAATAAACAATTGCACTTGAACATGTTTTGAGTTGCCTAACCTTAATAATGTCAAGGTAATTTTTATTTGTACACATGGGTGGGAACGGTTCTTGTTGCAACATGTTACTTTGAGCACCACGTTTTACCGACCCCAAAATTATTTTATTTTTCTCTCTGTAGATTGACTGACAATGAGTTTAGCAGTCAGCTTGAACAGACTACCATCCTATGTGAAGGAATCCGCCTATTTTCAACAGCCACAGCAAGATAAGACAACCAACAGGCCCTCGCCACTCAGTGGTGTTGTCCCATTGAAGTTTCCAGCAACAAGGAATATACTGTGGTAAGTAAAGAAGCTAGCATTATGTCACAGATTTCATCCTGCCCTTCCAGTGCCTTTCCCCCTTTTTAATTGTCTGCACAACTTGCACAAATAGACTTGAGGAGATTGCACAGTAAAATGTTCATATAAAAATAAAATATTCAGTCTTGTTGGACTCCAGATGGTGGTGCACAATAATTTGTTAACTATATTTATTGGAAAACTTTATATTACTAAACTGACAGTCCCTGAGTATAGTTCAGTGTCAATAAAAATTTGATCTAATTTTTACATCATTAGACATGCAGCTTGCCAGTCATTACAACACACCGACTCACTCAGATGCAATCTTGCTGATGAATGCAACAGAATGCGATAACTTTACTGATTTGTTGAAATAATATTTTTTTTTTTTTTTAATTGTTTTTGTGCCAGGTGACAGTTCCGGACATAAAGTGTCACTGTTGTCTCCTGACTTTTTTTTATGTTCAAATTGCCATGAACATAATAACTTTACTGATTTGTTGAAATAATATTTTGTTTATTTATTCGCTACAGGAATAGATCTCAGACTGGTCCAGCATGTATCCTGCATCCCACACAGAAAAAGTAAGACACTTTGTTTTGGTTTTTTGAATATAACTGCTTCTTTCTTAAAAATGAATTCAATATTTAAAAAGGCAATCTAAACTTTCAGTGAATATTTGATAGACATAAGGGAACAATGTTGACAGTTTTGACACTTTCATTGATTTCTTTCACTATTTTTGCATTACAGGGAGATAAGCTTCCATATACTGGAGAAGACATTACAACTTGCTCACCGTCATGCCAAACAAGCCAGTAAACAACCTTATAATTGCTTTCTCATTGCATCAGTTAATATTGATTCAGGTAAGTGATGAAGACATGATTTGTCAGTTAAGGAAGCTACTCATCTCCAAGAATTTCCTGTTTAAAATTTCTACACTGTATTTCCACTCTCTATTAAAGATGCATCACAAATACAAATACATATGAACTAAAAATGCCATATTGTATGCTGGATCATCAACATACAAATTATTTTGATCGTTGACGTACCTTTGTTATTTGCATGTGCTACCAAATATAGTGTTTGTTTTATTGACTCTAACATGGCTGTCTTGTGATGTGTGAAATAATGTGACTACGAATATATTCAACAAGTTAATACAAAATCTATAAGCCTCTTAAGTTTGGTGTTAGTGATCAGTGTTTTATTTTACTTCTGTCATCTTCAATTTCAATGAGTTTGTTTGCTCAACTTATTTCCTTGTTCTTTATAGGTGATGGAATAACTGTGACTGTAGATCGATTTGATCCAGGTCGTGACCTGCCCGGTAGACCATGTCGTGTTCCTACTGCTCAACTACCAGGGGACCATCTCATTCCCCTTGGAGTAACAATAACACCACAAGAAAACCAGTCACCTTCTACTGAACAATTCATTGCCTCTTTTAAGGTAAGAAGAAATTTTATTAACTACTGTAAAACCAATTATTTTCACTAGCATTTAATTTCACTATTTGGATACTTTGAGCATATATATTTGTTTTGGTTCTTAAATTTTCCACTGAACAGTGAGTTCTATTGTTATTTTACTTGTCACTTGTTACTTATCAACTAAAATAGCTAAAGTAAAACCTTGTGAATAAATAATGCATTTATAGTATTTTAAGATGCAATTACTAAACACACTGGTGTAATATACATTTCCCTCTTTTCAATATTTGAGTCAAATAAACCTGTATTTGGTTTCCATAGTTACTGCATCACCAGTGTACAAGTAAAGATTCCATCGATGTCAACCGACTCCTCTCATTGAGAGCGCAGTGTTGTTGCTATGACAACGATGAAGATGTCACTTTCAATCTACATATCACCGGGGTTTCGGCATCAACAGAGTTTGAAGCCGTCCCCATCAACCCAATTCCAGTAATACCCACAGCACTAGCTCGTAACTTATCCGGTCCTCTCAGTCTAAGTGATGTACAAGGCACTCCAAAATCAGGGTAGGTTGACATCTCTATTGAATAAAAAAAAAATGAAGGTTCGTTGTCATCACTGTGTTTGTTTTTCTGAAATTTCATGTATTTCATTTGTTGTATTCAAATAAATGTTGTAACCATATAAAATATATGATCTTTTCCCCTCAGGTATTTAACCATGGACCAAACCCGAAAATTATTGTTATTATTGGAGTCAGATCCAAAAGTTCAGAATTTGCCACTGGTTGGAATGTAAGTATTGCTATTTAGCATAATAAATGAAATTACCGGGTAACAGTCTCCAATTCTTGTAGAATTGCCAGAAGATCTTTTATGCATTTTGACTCCACCAAAATGATAAAAAAGCTGTTTGCATTGCAACTATTTGTAATATTTTACTTGTATATTTCTAGTTTTAATTATCTGTCTTCCTCCCTTCTCTGCGATACATGTATCTCTAATGTACTCTATACCTTGATTAATATTATATTCTCCTTTCAGTTGGGTGAGTGGTATTGCCTGTATTCAGAATCCATTTGTCTGGGCAAGCTGTCTGAGGTATATGTTTAACAGTGCCATTCAAGAAAGGTGAGTAAATACAAGTTTTAGTAGTGCAATTATTATCAACCTGGGGTTTAACTTTAAATCAAATACGATTCTCAACCTGAGTTTTCAGCTATGACTTTTGTTTTTTGTAATTAAGTCCAGTTTTCCTGATTTTCTCTTGTTTTTATTTCTAGGGTGTGTAGTGGAAGTCAGGGCTTTCTACTAGTGCTGTATTCACCAACACATGTCAACCCAGAGTTTTACGAGTGTATCGCTAAACAAGATAAACTCAACTTCCAGCTATTTACTTGTGAGGAAAACCTACATACATTTAAGGTACGCTTTTCAGTCATGAAATCATCCTGCTTTTCAGTGAATCAGTGTATGCATGTATTTACCATACTAGTTGCGTAATGATGGTTTGCTTTGAATTGCTGTTTACTATATGTGTAGAATACAGAAATATGCCGGTCTTTTCGTAAGAACTCTAATCCTGCCCCTTCTGTGCCATTTTAAATGTATATGCCCCACTTTAAAAAGACGCTTATAGTAACCTGGAGGGGCATATATTTTGGAGAGCTTGAGTTATAGAGTTAGGGTTCAGTTGGGAGAGGGGGTGGGCTTGAAGATGTCTTTCTACATTGGTGAAGACAAAATTTGGCAAATATCACTGACACTCTGTGTGGTAGGGCAAAAGAGAAATTTTGCTTCGCTGTAGCGATTTTCAGAATGTATATTCATTTATGTTTATTATCATTATTCGCAGCATGGTGAGCAGAGTTCACGTCCACCTACACAGCTGGAGCTACTGCCAGCTACTACTGGGGCTTACAAAGATGTATTTATGGAAGCTGTCAAACAAACACCACAAATAGAGTAAGTGGGAAACTGTTTCAGAAAACAACTCTGGTTATATTTTCAAAAATTGTCAACAATGGTAGCTAAATTTCTATTGTATAGATAACAACAACAATAGCAGAAGTTAGTATTGTTGTTCATTTAGTGTACACTGTACAAAGTGGAAAAACATAAAAATTGGCCATGTTATGAGAATCATGATGTGGTCAATCAGGTTATGGAAGGTTAATAAGGTTATATACTGATTTTCAATCAATGAACTGATAATCGCTGAAGAATGACATGAAAGTAAAAACTGTGAAATACTTTTAGTTTTGCTATTTTCACTGAAGGCAATAAAAAACATTGAAAATGCTTTTTAACCCTATGCATTAAAAGTATTCCCATTATGTTTGTTTTTTTTAACAAAAAATATTCCAGCTAAAATAAGTAACTAGTCTATTCTGGTTTGTATCTTCAATTATTGTATTGATATTTAAATTGTTTTAAATCTTTTTTTGGCAGATCCAGTCCTGCCTTGCCACCTGAGATACAGCTGCAAAGAATGTTTCCAGGAAATGCCAATAATTCCATGGAAGAAGAAAAAGAAGCAAATAGTTCAATCCCAAGACCCTCACCAAGTCCCCATCCTCTTGGAAGCAAGGTATGCAAATATTCTTATCAGAATTCCATCTATATTTATGCTGTGCCTTCTCATTGGTTGCTGCTTGTGTACCATTGCATATTAGCCAATCACTGTCCAGTTTACAAACTGTAAATCTGCCCAGCTGTGATAAGTCACTTTATAAGCTGCATGCCTCAAATGGTTAGTTATGTGACCATTATGATATGCAAATCACATGTAAAAAAGATACAGGTGTTCTGTTATTGTTGACAGCATACCCTACTTTGCATATTCATTGCAATACTTTTCTCTCTCCCACAGACACCAAGTATAGAACATTCAGTACCAGAACTTTCTCTCATTTTTGATGAAAGCTTCCTAGAGCATGTGCCAGTGCTGGACAATTCTCATTCTACTCCAGCCAAAGAAGTATTCAACTCGAAATCTAAAATTGACATCAGTGCTCAGGAAAATGGTCCTTATCAATCAAACAGGGTGAATAAATCCTCAGGTGGTCCTGTTAACCCATCTCCTAAATTGATGGAGCGGAGTAATAGACCTGGACCCTTACGGCCATTGAATATGGATCTTAATCAGTCTCATCAAGGTCCTCCAAGCCCAGCTGTATTGTCTCCACAGCCTATGATGAACAGAGGTGTGCCACCTCGGGCTATGATGTCACCAAGACCAAGGATGAACAACCAGTATCAAGGACCTAAACCATGTCAACAACAACAACAACAACAACAGCAACATCAACAAGCAATGAATCGACAACATCCTCCAAATTATCAACAACAACATAATCAGGGTCCTGTGTATCACCAACCACCACAAAATAACTATGGTCCACCAGCACCGCAGCAAGGTGGCAATTTTAATAACGGTCCTCCCTCTCAGGTACATGGAGGATATCGTCCACCAGTCAATGGTAGACCACGGATGAATGCACCTACAACTAACCCTAATAATGGAAACAAACAATGCTACAACAACAGAGCACCTACAAATCCACCAATGCAACGCCCACTACTCCGACCATCTTCAAATGTACAGACCATAAATAACCCTAGATCTTTCACACCAATCAATAATACACACACTAACCAGCTACCTACACAGCCAAATTATCAACATATTAATACTAGGACTCAAGGACATTACGGCAACATCTCTCCACCGCAGCGATTACAAAGCTCGCCACCAGACAGTAGAGTCTCGCCACCACAGAGTAAAATCTCTCCACCAAGAGGAAGACCACCAACGCCAACTGTTCTATCGAACGGAGAAGTTAGAATGCCACCGAATCAGTACCCATACAAAATGCAGCAGCAGCACTCTGAGCAGTATTCACCACCAAGACAACAACAGCCAATGTTTGTAGGAGGTCCCAATAAGAATAATTCTCCACCTAATAACTCCACACCTATAAGACGTAATAGCTACTCCAGTGACTCCTCTACTTTATCTCCTGATGCATATCAGTTACTAATGGAACAGGATAAACAACTTAAACTTCTACAGGCTCAGGTAAATAGACTTTCTATTTTGTCACTTAACCCACAAGTTTTTTTTTTCACTACTTTTTTCTTTTCTTTTGATTTTTCAAAATGTTGTAAAAAATAAAGCTGAAAAAACATGATGATGCAAGACATTAATTCCTTCTGTATAATTTCACAGATTCAGTTGTTACTCCAAGCTCAGACCAACAATGGCAATCGTGGCTCCTCTGTTTCTTCATCTACAACCATGACACCACCAGCAACACCAGCAAGCAGCACTTGTCTGCCAAACAGCTTCAATACAGCACCAGCATTTCGGCAGTCCTTGGGGCGAAAAATGGACATGGCTACCTCACCGATGAACTTTCAGCAACATAACAGAATGAGGGCAATGTCAACTAACACCGGAGCAAGTCTATTGATGTCTCCTGCTGCATCTCACTTCAGTTCTGATGTTAGCCAGTCACAGGTTTCTAGCACCAGTACTCGTATGTCAAGCAGGATGTTTGATATGAGTGGGACGTTTGCTCTGCAATCTATGCAAGAACAGACAGACAGCATGGTGTCTCCGATTGTTGCTGTTGATTTGCAGAGTTTTGCCGATAGCAGTCCTCCTCAAAGGTAAGGCAATGTGACAATAAAAAAGATATCTGTGGTTTCCTTTATTTTCTGTTGAATACTTTGTTTTGATAAATTCATTTTATATATCTGAAATGTGATTTTTACTTTTATGTAGCCTTTATTTGGAAACATTCTTTTAAAATTCCAAATCCTGTAAGTAAGGCTGTACTTTATGCACTTCCACAACAGTAAAAAGTAAATTCACTTTTTTTTTCTATTTTCAGGCATCCTGATTCAGAAAGTAGTTGTATGAATTCTAGTAACATTCAACACGACGAACGAATACAAAGCCCTGTATTTGGAGAAAGCGTTAGCATGCATATGCGACAACAGAAGAAAGCAGAACAGCAACAGCAACAACAACAACAACATCACAAAATTTTAAAAGAGGAACCAGTTGAGGAAAATGAGAATAGTTTACTTATCAAAGATGAGAAGAAGTTTTATGAGCAAGTGTTGGTGAGTGTTATTGTGATTACATTCATGCAACATTATCTGGAATAGCATTAGGGTTTCAGTGCATAGACAACGTCAATAAAAATGACTCACCTGGTTATGCTTAGCATAAATGTCAGTATTGTGTATAACATTTTACACAAATACTACCGGTATATGCTATTATGAAATAGTATAAAATTTTCACTCTAGGGTTAATATGAAATTGATGAATATTCATGGCCAGACATGTCAATCATGGTTTCTTTTCTATATGACCACGCTAGATTGATATTGTGATGTTACAAAATAAGCTTCACCCACAGCAAGGAATTTATTTTTACTTCATTTCTTGAGAGTACTTGGTCATAAATGTTTATATAAACATAACATAATGTGTATCTTTTTTTGATGAGTATGATTTTGTTTCTTATCAGGGTCAGGTAAACCAGTTCCTTCAGAAGTCAACAGATTCATCAGGCAGTCAAAATAACAGTGTGTGTAGCAGTGATAAAACCTTGGAAGAGTCGAAGAGCTATACTGGTGATAGTTATTGTAATAGCACCATTCAAACACCAACCAAGAGTGATCTTACAAAATTGGGCTCCTCGTTCGATGACAGTGATATCCTTCCAACTAAAGGTTCATCTGAATATTCAAGGTAAGTCAACAATTATTTAAGGCATGTTTTTTGATGCAGACATTGTCATTATTTCGTGTTTGAATACCGGTATTATCAATCAAATGATTATAATTATCAGAATTTACAGACAGACAACCAAATTCAGTGTCGCCCTCTAGTGGGTGTGTTAAAATGCTTTTGTTTTTTGAATTTTATTTTTACTACATGTTTTGTGCACGGCACTTTCAAATTTTGTGTAAACAAACAAGTTACTTTATATGCATTTTACGCATAAGATGGGACCCATATCGAACACAACTCTGTGTGGCGCTCTAATCGTCCCACTTCAATTACATGTCTTTACTGGCTATTGATATAGCTATCTTTTATGTTGAGTGTTTCGAAAACTTGAAATTAATTAATTTCTGCATTTTTCTTGCTTGCAGATGTGATTCTTTCACAAGTGATTATTTTCCACACATAAATTACACATCGCTGGCTGATTTTACTATGGATGGTGGGGACCTAAGCTTTGAAGCTAATGCCATTGCCATGAAGTATCTATCAGATAAACAGTTGTCCAAACTCTCGCATCACATGGGTGAACAACGCCACAAGGTATCTGAAGAGAAGCTATTGCAAACAGTTTTAACTAAGGCTGCTTCAGACAAATCAATGTTTGGGTCAAGTGTAACCGATAGCTCTTCTGGGGTGAACATGTCACTGGCAACTCGCAAATATCTCGAAAAATATGGACTCTTAGATAAGTCCGGGGGAAGTAGTAGCTGCAGCACCATTGAAGAAGTTAGTCTGTGTCAACGTTGTGGCGAGGAAGTCAAAGACAGCCCACAGCATAGGAGGACATGCTACAGTCCGCCATCACGGGACACAAGTTGTAAAACCCCTGAAGTATCATGCTTGGAATGTCAGTCGACGTCGACAAACAGGGTACTATCATTTTCTCAAGTGTCACAAGAATCCAAAAAAACTACCAAAAGCGACTGCAGTACAGGAAACATTTTAGATTTGAAGAAACTTCGAGATATGCCAAAACTGCTGTAATTATATTCGTTTTAAAACTTACTTATAAATGATTCAACATACAGCAGAGGACATAAATTTGTAGATACCACAAAGTTCTTTGTTTTTTTTATTATTATATATACAAATCTTGTACATTTTGTGAAAGTTGGATAAATTTATTCTTTGAACAATCATTATAAACTATCATGCATCCAAATCAAAGCTAATTTAATCTACAAATGCTATCTTCCAAAAATGATGCATTCTTAATTTCCAACTTGTATTCTTTTCGTACTTCTTGTCAAAATTTGTTTTTTTATTATATTTATTTTTGTATAGATAAAATAAAATTTGATTGAGGTGAGAAAATTATGTTTTAACTTTATGACAATGAATTGCTGTAATTTTAATTGTAAATAAAGTATTATTACCTGTAAACTTTATAATAGTGTAACGTTCTTTATATATTTGGAAAAGTGGTGTAATGTCATGGTGTATATAAAATTAATTACAATGACCAACTGAAGTGTGTAGTGTTAATGTACACAAATTGTAGAATAAGGACACGGGGATCATTTCTTGGAGCTACTGTTGGTGGAAAATGGTTTCTTTTGAGAAGCATTCCATGCTGCTGACATGCGAAAAGTCTCTATGTTGTAATACATCTACCTGATGAGAATAATAAATGGGGGGCTCTTAGGGTCAAAACAATTTATCATGTACGAGTTGTGACCTCCAAATAACATTGGATGAAGCAAATAAAACCAATTTGATACTGTAAATGCATTATAAGTATGCACTACTTTGTAATTTCGCTGATGGGTAAAATCTGCCTCCAAGTGAACGTGTTAAATAACAATAGAACATACTGTTTCCCGGGGCAAAAAAACCTTAGTAACTGCTCCAAAAAAATCAAAGTATTAACATTAAATGACAGTAAAAATAATCTAACAGTACATTGATAAATTAGTTTGACATCGAACAGACCTCAGTCATGAGATTTGCGAAAGGTAAGTGGCTTGGTGCGCCACGACAATTGACCAAACGTAAGACGGGTGGGGGTTGGCGTGAGAGGGCGCCATCAATCAGGATGGGACGTTTCAAAGCCGTTCCATGGTCTTTCGCATGCCATTGTCGAAGCAACAACGTTCTCCTACGAATAGTAACGTGAATCCAGGGCCGGAATCCCGACCCAGTGGAGCAATAGGGCAATTAAATCACTAGGGTAACAGGCCAACTCGCACCACATCAAACGTTGACGATACGATGACCAACAGGGTGCCATACTCTTTGCCCGATGGTAAAAGTATGTATTTTCCCAGTACCTGAGGCGAAACTATCGGGTATACTTGAGTCTACACGTTTGCCAGTGTCAGTTGTTTTGACTTTTCCATTATTTCGTTTATTGGGGTATGTATGACCTAAAAAAAGTACAGTATGCGAGTACTAAGATGGCCTAAAAATGGTCTATGCGAGGGTAAAATGAGTAATTTCCGGACGGTAAAACTACAGGTGTTAAAGGGCGGTAGTCGTCGCGCCACGCATGCGCGAGATATATGGGTCTCGTATAATGGCGACTTTGACTGTTGCGCAGATCAACGAGTACAAACTGAGACGTTACCAAGCTTTAATTAGGTATTTTAAGGTGATTGGAAGGTATTCGAAGGAGTCATGGGCGGTAATCAGTGCATGTCGCGCCCAGGTCAAACCTCATACTTGTGATTTCCATTAGAAGAGCGCATTGGATTGTGGGAAAACCAATTGTTATCTACACAAATGTCGCACATGCGCAGCGCGACGACCAACACCATTTAAATTGGACACAGAGTGGGTTGTCAGTGCGAGTAGCACTTGTGCAAAATGGTGCTAGATCCCGTGGTTAAATGGTACTAGGTCTAGCGATAAAATGGTACTAGATCTACTGCTGAAATGACGCTGGTTCTAGTGAGAAAATGTACACAATGCGAGGGGCATCGTTATCGCAATGTCACCGTCAACGATGTATTATGTTATTGTAGCACTACGTAATTAGGGGGGCAAGGGGGGTAGCTGGTACAGTTTTACGGGAAATAAAACGGGCTTTTTACAATTTACAAAGAAAAATAGACGTTTTTACAGTTTACAGTGAAAATTAAATTTTGCAGTGAATTGTTGTCATTTAGTCGTTTTACAGTTTAGAAAATGTAATTTCCCTGAATTCTTTACGACTTTTTTTTATTTGGATGTAAATTCTTGTACGTACCGAGAAAAATTACACATTTTTACAGTGTACGAAAAAAATATTTGATTAATTACGTTGTACGTCTAGCCTGTGATTACAGAATTACGGAATTTATTTTTTCAATTCACGTTGTACGAACAAAAAAATATTGCAGTTACGTTGAATGAAAATAACCCTTGCCCCCCCCCTCTAATTATTGGCGAATAAATGTTGCATTACAATAAATATTTACGTATAATAGTATCATTAATTCTAATGAAAAGATTGACAGTGTATGTTATTTATTTTTTGTTATTTACCTCCAAGTTACTCGTCGATTTCTAGTAACGACTATCTAGTGCTGAATTAGCCTGACATGTAGGCTAGTAGCGCCCTCGCCGGTCAAACGGCATCGGTGTTGGGTTTGGAACACCGGGGAGGGCGCAACTCACGCGACTCGCCAGGCGAGTGCTGAATTAACACTGGGGAAATACTAGTATACACAATGCGAAGGCTTTGATGCTATTGTTAGACACTAGTAGTCGCCGCATGTGGTATTGGCTGATGACAAACCAAAGTCCCTGTGGACAAACACAGTCCCCAAATTATTGCGAACGCTGAAAAGTAGTTATTGAAACCATCCTTTTTGAGAACGATGTCATCCGGGGAATGCCACGCAATTGTGGACATATATTGTAAAAGTTGTGAGATATATATAATTTTTAAAGAGCGATAAAAAAAAATTATATCTCCTTGGTATTTGTCAAAGTATGTTCACAAGTATGTTCACAGTTAGTAACCGTGGTCTGTTGTCATTCATAACGATCGTTTTTGAGTTGCAAGTGTTTTTATTTGTCAATGTTGTTATGGGGTGAGTGGGGTATGTCATAGTAAAGAGCAAAGTTCTGCATTTTGTAGGCTGAGATTTAATACAAAGCAGGCACCAAGTAACAACAGAGGTGCATGAATCCACAGTTACCATTGGCTGGCGGTGCCCTCAAAAGTCAGCGCCGTGGCAAACAGCTGGACGGCTGTTCGTTTTTACTTTCGCTGTATCCAGTTCTTTGTGCCACTGAGCAACAAACGAGCCATTGTTTCCACGTGTTGAGCGTTGGAAAGGTTACCTGTACTATACTTTGTCATACTGTTGTGATATTGCTGTCAAGAGGGCAGTGCTATCTGTGTTAGTGCATAATGCAGATATTCCTTTCCTAAGAAACCTATAAACAAAAGAATATGCAATAACTGTGACACAAATTCAATTGAAGATGAAGAACATTTTCTATTGAATTGCCCAAAATATAACACACACAGGGAAAATTTCATCCAAAAAATTATGACACTACTTTCATCCAAAAATAAAAATATACAGTTCACATATATACTCTCAAGCAAAGATCCTGGCATAATTATAGAACTTGCCAATTATATACACAACACAAAGATTTATTTAACATTTAAATACTAGTTACGCTCTTTTGTTTTTGTTTTTATAATATTTTTACATATATGTTATTATTTTAAAACTATTTTTTGCTGTACTTATCCTATGTAAATCTTTTTACACGGAGGCAATAAAGTTATTATTATTATTAATGCATGTTTCCAGTCGCAGTATGGTTATAGAGAACATATGTCAATCGTCAAAGCTATGATTTGAGATAACCTTGAGATATATATGATGCAGTGGTGTAGTTGTGTGCTTAACACAACAACAACAGTGCCTGTAGCACTAATAAATATTGCCACTTATCTTACTGGTGAAGTAGAAACTCGTTTACAAAATGCAATTTATGATTTAGTCATTGACAATGTTCCCGGAGCTAGAGAACTAAGTGATCTTAACTCGGTTTGGCAAGAGAATGTGTAGCTAGAACAAGGGGTATGGCCAAGAAAAAACACCAATCCACTCAATTAGCGGTACAACAGGGCGATAAATTACTTGTTGTTGATAAAGAGCAAGCTAATTACAATGAAAGAAATGACAGGTAACTAAATAAATATAAGTTAAATGATAACAAGGTTAAGATGGAACAGAAAGTATTTACTTCCAACCAAAGCAAGGTGTATTACACCTTTTCTCATGGAAAATCTGTCAGATTGTGATGCCTACATAGTAGAAAAAATATGATTCATTGTCTTTATGTTTAAAACTCGTCGTTTAATTATATAACGTGTCTTAACATTTTTTTCTGATTCTGCTAAAGCAACAAGAAGTTAAAGTTGATCATCAAGGATGTGGCAACTCCACATGCTGCCTTCAATTCTGCACTGCATGACAATACAGTCTGCAAGTCAATGTTATGTCTTCAATGAGTTGGTTACATGGCCAAAGAGTTGCCAGCAAGAAGGTTTATCATGTGCTACCCCGAGGGGAACTAGCACATATTTGTGTCTCACACGTGTTGCAGCTGGCGGAAAATCCAACAATATTCATAGTTCACCCAAGAGTGGGAACCCGTGTCACATAGTAAACCATCACCAGTGGAAACACTAGAGAGGCCACCAGCTGTGAAGCACATACACAATGGTGATAAACAGCGTCAGAGAGATGAAATCCCTCTTCTGAAAGCACTCATTGTGCAGACCAGTTTGTTGGACTGATTAGTCGAATCAAACTGCGAGGAATCAAGTTTACAGGACACAGTCATGTCTGTGGGTAAATACATTCTACACAAACATCTTGCAGATATTTAAGTGAGACCCTTAGAGAACATCACAAGCATGTACAACCGACATGATACAAATGATTAAGTCAGGTGTTGCCGGGAATGATTGTCAGTGATGTGATATGCGAGTCACATATTCCTTGGGTGGCTTTGATTGTGTTGGGGACAAAATTGTAAAAGCTAGAGACTAGAGACTAGCCAAGAGTGAGTGTAACTGTCCACCTCATAAATTGAGTTTTGGTGGAGAAATTCAGTTACTCACATATGTTATGACAAGCGCTAAGTTGGATGCGACTGGGCACCAATGGCTTGGTGTCACAATACCATTTTGAACCTGATAAATGCAATGGTGATGCCCGTTCCATAGGGCACATCAAGGTTAATTGTATGTTGAAAGCATTAGACCATGCAGAGGGAGACTGTTGTAGTGATAAGCAGTGCTCAACATACAACCGTCATGCCAACCATGGAATTGTTCGGAGTGACTGAGGAGGCTGTTAATCAATTAGGGGCCTGACCTACTGTCTCTTCAGATGAATTGAGGGAGCTGCACTGGAGAATCCTAGTGATTTGCAGGCTGTGTTGGTATTTTGGGATGGCCCGTAAGACTACTCAGTAAAAGATAAATGGTGTGATTGTCGAGGTTAGATTGACACTGAGAGAATGGAAACATCCTTGCTTCAAGAATCAGGTTTTCCATTGCATGCACTTAACACTAGAGGAATGACATGTTGTCAGTTGGCACTGTCCAAAGTGTATTGTGGTACAGCCATAGAGACGCTTTACAATGATATGGGGCACCCTGGCAAAGAAAGGATTTAGGACTAGCTGAAGTTAAAGTTGTATTAGCACAGGATGAAGCGGGATGTGGATGAAAGGTGGAGACTGCAAAGACTATAGCATTGATGGATTATCTAACTGGTATAGTAGGAAATCCAGAGGGAGAAGTAAATGGTAGAGGAGTGTTGAAGTCAGGTACGACCTGAGGTTTGAAGAAGCAAGGTGTAATCCTTCTTATTTTAAGACCTGTATTTATATGATACTGTTGGATAGATTTAAATCGCTTAAATATGCTCATATGCAGTTTTGTGATATAGCGACCTCTTGTGATTGTTAGTATTTTATGTAGTTTATTGTTTATTTACATGCATTTAGCTTGTAATTCTTGTAATCCATGGCGTACTATATGTAATACGTGTGACATTGCTCATTATGGAACATTCTGCAAACGTTGATCTGGGGGAGAGAATCAACAAACCCTCACACACACAATCTTTTCGATTTGGCAGCCTCTGTGAGTTGTGTACGTCCAAAAATGTAATAGTATATGGCAAATATTAATCGTATTTTTATTAAGGCATTACTGTTAAATTGTTGTGTTGTGTTGGAGTTGTGATTATAATACCTCGACAGTCTATGATGTCAATGTTTAACTATAGCTTAAGTGTTGTGTCTGGTTGTTGGTTGATTGACTCATTCCCTGATAGTACCCGTATACCAAGTCCTCTACTTCAAACCCTTAAAATCCCTGTTAAAGAACCCTATTATTGGTGCATGAGACAGTCCATGTGATGTGGTGAGAAGGACGGGACGGTACTGTTTTTTCACTGAGATTATTTAGGCTTAAGGATAGATGTATTACCATCTACTCGCCTCTTCGGAGTCTCATGGCCGCCAGAGGACGGGGTATGTCACATGGTATGGTCACGTTGGGGAAGAGGCAGGTGTAGCTTGACGAGCCCCCAGCCAAATAGAGTGATGCAAACAATAGACAAAAATCAACAAACCAGAAATATTGTCACACACATACATTTTCAACACTATATCTATACTATACATGCAAGTAATGCTAGTTGCCAAACCGCGAAAATGAACAGAGCGTGCATTAGTGCTAGAAGTTGTGGTGATATTTACCTTGTCAACAGAACAACTTCTCACATAAAGTCACTCTCCTCCATGACTCGAAGAAGACACAGACTACACATTTTCACCACAGAAAATAATGATTATACAGAAACCATTGAATATATTTCATTCATTTTAATGTGTCTTGTTTATTACTGTGTTGGGGTGATTTCGTACAAACGAACGTAATCGACCTGCAATGCGGCGTATTCGCCATTGTTCTCGTCAGGGCGCCATGTTGGATACCAGCATGCGTTATCCTCCCAGAATTCCTTTGGAGCGTATGGTGAAGTATTAGACCATGGTTTAGGGCAAGGAGAATTTATTAGGTTTTCACCCCAGTAACCAGTCGTGCCACCAACTGCCACATTCATAGTGATGTAAAACTGTAAGAAAATGTCAATATTTTAATTTTAATATCACACACATTGATTTATTAAACATTACACAGGTGTACAAATATAATCAACAAATTCAAGGTTATTCGCAGGTTATTCAAGAATTTGGAAATTAGGCACAACCAAGAATGTATTCTCTGCGTCCATTTGTATCTAATCTAAGGTTTATTATGAGCTTCTGTTGTCCCCGAATAAGCACATCATTTTCATATAGGACTAAATATTATCATAGTTCAAACTAAAAATTCTCGCTGTGATCCCCAAAATCGGAGCGAAACGTAGATGGTCATGTGAAGTGAGAAAAATATAAAATCAATAATTTAAATATTTTACTAACAGGTTTATCAAATGGTGCCAACTTGTCTCCTTGAGCCCAAGGATTATCGTCGCCTGGCAACGACTGATGCCAGCCGCCATATTCCCAGAAACCGCCATCACCTGGATCGACAAACATTATTTCTTCACCATCCAAAAGGAATCTGTGATAATAGATGAAGTTGTAAGAATGTAAATGAATAGTTCCAGTTCAAATCAATAGTGTTTGTTGTGCATAATAATGCATAATTAGGCATAGCCTACGGATAATTTCGAAATGTTTCATCAAGGTTGGACAACTCCCTCTGGTACGACCCCTGCTACAGAATATACGTATTCTGGGCGGTATTAAAAAAAAGTGAGCTTTCTTATAGTTACGGCTCGTTGCTATGCTTACCTAAGATATTTATCATTCCACTCCATGGCATATACGTGAAAATGGGTACCAAACGTGCCATTTTCTGCATATCTAATAAAAAAACCCACAATAATTGAAAAATTGGCGATATTTTGTAAGATATTGTGTTCGTATACTTAAATCTGAACACTGATTAATCACAAACTGTGTATAAATGTTTAGTATGTCCAGTTACCTGGTGGTGGTTGTTAGGGGTGCGCCATTGTGAGGATAGTATGGACCCCAATGCATTGTCGATCCCATCTGGTCCACACCTACCGAGTTACCAAGGGGATCTGTTAAGTTCACATTACCACGTGACTCAACAAGGTCGATTTCACCGGATGCTGGCCAGCCACCATACGGATTTCTTTGCGGCAGCATCCATATTGCTAAACAGTGTAAGAAATTATGGTTAATGTCTATAGTGGATTAGCCCATTCAATGTCAATGTCCACAAGACATAAATGTCCCGTCTTTGAAAAATGTAATACATGGCCTGTGATATCATGAATTATATCGTGGATATGTTTTGATTGTATTGTGCAATGTATCACGGGAAAAATAAGATTTATTTGGAATTTTTCTCAGTCCATGTGATATTATATGTAGGAATGGTTGAGATACAGTATCTGATCACAACAAATATTCACATCATGTCTTTGTCTTTAATTTGTGTCAACTTGCAACAAAACGGTTAAAGTATGTCCATGATAATGAAACCATCATGGCCACTATTC